CTTTTCCTGGATTCTACAAAACATCATTTCATCATGGGACAGCAAATTTCAGATCAGACACAGCTGGTTATTAACAAGTTACCAGAAAAAGTAGCAAAACATGTCACATTGGTTCGAGAAAGTAGCTCCTTAACTTATGAAGAATTTCTTGGGAGAGTAGCTGAAATCAATGATGTGTAAGTCTTTCTTTTTCATTTTATTTTTCCCCTTGAGATTTGCATTATGTGGTGGCTATGTAAAAGGTAACCCAAGAGTATTGATTGGTAAGACGAAGTGGACCAACTTCCGTGAGTGGAATTTGGCCCTTCCCAGTGCAGTGCCCTCTGATAACAGAAGTGTGGGTTTGTAGTTGGGAAGCAAGAACTAGAAACTGGACTGGCTGAACTGTTTTTACGGGAAGACTTTTTTTCCTAAGACTTGTTGTTTTATTTTTAATGGCCTTATTTTATTTAGCTGTAAGTCAATTTGTTGAACATGATATCTTTATGGGTGCTTAGAAAGAAATGCTAAAAATGATAAAAGGAAACTGTAGTGTTTAAATATCTTTGAACTGATTTAAATTGGTGTTGATAACCTGATACTGAGTTATTATGCTCTAAAAATGTTATATTTTTGTGTTAGAATCCTGTGGCCCTTAAGCTATATTTAATGTCTCCAATCATTTGTTTTACTTGATCAAGCTCCAAATTATCTAAAAAAAACAAAAACTTTCAAAGAGATACTTCAGCATTGCTTAAACAGGACTCAGACAAGAACAAGATATTTTTACACTTTATATCTGAGGCAGTTGTCAAAATCTCAGTAAGTGAAACCAGCTAAACCTTTTAAGTCCCAATTTTTTAGAGTTTTTTCTCCTAACGCTCTTTGCTAGAAATTTAAAGACAAGGTATAAATATGACAAAAAGATTTATAAATATAATTCCACAAAGTTATTGACTTAAAAAACTTGGAAATTAAGTTGTATGTCTAAGTTTAAAAATTCTCCATTCCTGTGTTTTAAGAATGCAGTTATTATGATCATTACTTCTTTGTCTTGGTATTTTTCTTCGTGTTTCCATCTGAAAGTGTTTCTTGACTCCGGTGTCATAGTTCTGCACTTTTGTATGACTTCTCATAAAATTAACAGGTGTGCTTGTCTCTTTTCAGAACTGCTAAAGTGGCCACTGGCCAGGAAAAACATCTTCTCTTTGAGGTACAACCTGGTTCTGATTCCTCTGCCTTTTGGAAAGTGGTTGTACGGGTGGTCTGCACCAAGGTGAGACTCTTGGAGACTTCCATTTCTGAGCTTCAGCTGTTATGATGCTTAGAGCCACATTAGTGTAATATAATAGAATGGAAGTGAATAGTAATAATTTGGTGATCTTGTAAAGCATAGTTTTGCCTCCTGCCAACTCTGTATCTTACCAGTTATCTAATTGCTATATAGCAAGGATTTTATTTTTACTTGAAATCTTTAATTTTTAAAAAGTTTTTTATTACTGCATATTTGCAGTACGTGATGATTACATTACTTAAGGGGAGTTAGTTCTTGTATCTATTACTTTTTTTTGCTTAATTGTGTGTATTTGGCACAGGGTCTCACTATGCACCTTGGACTCCTAGTGATCCTCCTGTTTTCAGCCTCCCCAGCACTGGGATTATAGTCGTGCGCCACCATTCCTGGGAACAGCACAGGATTAGCACACCCAGGCAGGGCCAGCATGGCATGTAGTGCTGGGGATTGAACCCCGCTCAGTCCTTGCACTTGCCAGGCAGGCACTTAGACCACTGAGCTATCTCCCCAGCCCTATGTAATACATCTTAATTATTTTTCTAAATGCTCTTCTCCTCCCCTCCCTCCCTTCCCACCCCTCCCTTTGTCTCCTTCCTTGCAGAAGATCTATTCCTATTTTTCCTATTATCTGTTATCTTGTTCCTTACTTATATTTGATCTTGTCATATAAGAGAAGCCATACAATATTTAAGCTTGTATGTCTGATTTATTTCATGTAATGTATGTTCTCAAGGTACATCCATTTTCCTACAAATGATTGAAGTTTATCCTTCATGGCAGAGTAGTGGTCCGTTGTGTATGTACCACACTTTATTCATTCGTGTGTGGGTGGGCATTGAGGCTACTTCCAAGATTTAGCTGTTACAAACTATGAACATGGGCGCTGGTGAACTCTTCCTCCTACCTCTTTTTGAGTTTTAGCTGGCTGTGGAGTCCTGTGGTGACACTCTGACACCTTAATAATTTAAAGTTATTTCATAATTTCTTTAAGAACACTGGGTTTCATAAGAACTCAAAAGAAGAAAGACAAATAGAAAGTTACAATACAAGTAAAAGGAAAGCAGGATCTCGAGGACTAACTAA